CGGATCACTGTTCATCACTGAAGGAAGTCAGGGCAGGAACTCAAACAGGGCAGGAACCTGGAGGCAGGAGCTGATGTGGAGGCCATGGAGGGTGCTGCTTACTGGCTTGTTCCTATGGCTTGCTCAGCCTGCTTTCTTAGAGAACCCAGGACCAGCAGCCCAGGAATGGGACCACCCACCATGGGCTGGGTCCTCCCCTTTTGATCACTAAGTGAGAAACTGCCTTACAGGTGGATCTCAAGGAGGCATTTTCTCAGCTGAGGCTCCTTCCTCTGGTGACTCAAGCTTGTCGAGTAGACACACAAAACCACCCACTCTAAGGTGCTTGCTGCCAAGTCTGCTGGCCTGACTCTGATCATTGAGAACCACATGCGTCCATACATGTACACTCATAAAGTAATAAAAATTAAAAACAGATAGACGGACAGATAGACAAATACCACCAAGTCACCCTCTTAGGAGTCTGTAGCTCCCCCAGCAAGCCTAAGTTCCTCACACCTGCCTGAACCGACCCGGGGACTCCCTTAGCTCATGAAGCGGCTGTAAAGGAGCACCAGTGTCTGGTGGAGCCTTCCTAGCCCCGCCCAAGAACCAGAACTAAAATGCTAAATGTACAGTCCGGCAGCAGCACCATGTAAACATGAATTCCAAGCTGCTGTGGTGACCACACCTGTAATCCTAGCTTTCGGAAGGCTGAGGCAGGAGAATCATGAATTGGAAGGCCAGCCTGGACAATTTATCAAGTCCCTGTCTCAAAACACTACCTGAAAGGGACTGGGGATTATCTCCCTGCCTGGCAAAAGAAAGCCAGTATCTCTGGCTCCCCCTCCCCCAGGGCATGTGAACCTTGTGGGCACATGCGGGCAGGGTCACCAATACCATCAGCTCATTTTGTTGATTTTATACATGCCACAGACATGCATGACTCTAACATACAGTATGCCATTAGTGTCTAGAGCATTCTAACCCAGACTGGAAAAGTAGAATTCAGGAAAATTCACTTCCTTGGGATATTTTCTCAAAGAAAATGTTGCAGACCAGAAAACCAGAATTCTAGCCTTTATTCAACTTCACAGAAGTTGTCTGTGATCTTAGACCTTTGGCTCCCCAGCTCCTTGCGGTTACATATGGAAGTCTTTATAAGGAGCCCTTGGGGTGGTGGCGCACGCCTTTGTCCCGACATTCATAAGGCAGAAGCAGGCAGAACTCTGAGTTTGAGCCCAGCCTGGTCTGCATAAAGAGTTCCAGACCATCTATACTGCCGAAAATAAATAAATAAACAAAAATCTTGGCAAGGTTGTCACCTTACCAAGGTGCACTGAGAGTTGGGTGAGCTGTATGAGGGTTTTTTTTTTTAACTTTTTAAGCTTTTTTTTTTTTAGCCTATCCTGAAACTCACCTTGTGACCAAGGTAGCCTTGAACTCACAGAGATCTGCTTGCCTCTGCCTCCCACGTGCTGGAATTAAAGACGTGTGCAGCCACCACCTGGCTCTATTTTTTTTTAATTGAGAAGTGGTATGGTGTTGCATATCTGGAGTCCCCACTGCCTGGAAGGCTGAGGCAGGAGGATCACTAGGTGAAGGAGTTGGAAAGCAGCCTGGGCACCACAGCAAGACTCTCACATAGAAGGAAAAAACACTGAAAGCACATTGCATGCTGTCAGGTAGGCACGTCCTGAACTCAGGGTAAGACCGATATGGAATAAGACAGACACAAAAGGGCTTCCTGTGGCTTGAACTATTATAGGCAGTTGACCATCTTACACCTCAGGAACTCAGATACGGGATTTACGATAAAGGGACCAGCCTAGAAATCGCAACCAAACCCGTTTTTGGTATCATAGTTAAATTTTCTAAATAATTTGTAAAACCAAGTCTAAACTACTCTATGTCAGTTATTCATTTCTAAGTATAGAAAAACAATGACACATGGTTACATTCTGAAACATTTTTTAGAGTTTGTCATATCATCTTCACAAGCCTTATTTGTGCTGGGTGGGAAGACCCTGAGTTTATGCCTGAAGAAACTAACGTGTACGTTAACGGGCTTCCCTGTGTAGGAAGCTTGCCAAAGCCACAGACAGCGAATCACCAAAAGGACCAAGGCTAACTCTCACCTGAGCATTGCTCGGATGACTCCCAAACGTTAGCCACTGAGTAGCTCAGTGTAAAGAACTCCGGCACCCGCAGCGCCCCACGCAGGTGTCCCTCGGCACCCGCAGCGCCCCACGCAGGTGTCCCTCGGCACCCAGAGCCACTTTACTCAAGAAGCGAAGCCACTGAGAGTACTTACTTGATGTCTTTTATTTCCAGTCTATGAGCAACTTGAGCTCAATTTGGGCTTCTGGAGTTAATGTGGAATTGTAAAGCTCAGTGCTGTGACTCAAGTAACTGAGGGACAGGGACCTTTACCCTCTTATGGAGCTTTCCTTGATCTGACTGTCTGATGTGTGGGAACAGCCACTTTCCTGTGGTACCACCTGAGCACCCCTTACTAGTCTTTGAGAGAAGACGTCTAGTCAGAGCTGGAGGTGTCGCTCAGTGGTTACGAGCACACACTGCTCTACCAGAGAACCCGGGTTCAATTCCCAGCACCCACGTGTTGGCTCAAACCATCTGTAACTCCAGTTCCTTCTGGCCTCTCACATCACTCGTGTGGTGCAGTTTACATACAATGTAGGCTCTGCCATACACTCTTAGACATAAAAATAATTCTTTTCAAAGAAGAGTTTGGTGGTTCTTGTAAAGAGGTAAAAACAAAACAGTAGAAAGAAAAGTGTGGAAGCTGGCAGAGTTTGCTTTCATGAATTGAAACATTTAAACCATGTTTACACTGTATCTACTCCTGCACTAAAAACCAGGCCCCAGGGATGCCCTTGTTCCAGTTCCGACAGTTGTGGGGATGTCAGTAACTAATACATAGCTCGTGTATAATAATGCTTGCTGGGTGAGTCACTGAGCGCTCTGTGGTGATGCTCTGGTGCTAGGGGCTACGGGTAAAGGGCCAGTGTATGCAGGGTGCTTGCAAGAGCCTATCCATACCTGCTTCTAGCATCCCTGGGAACACAGATGCCTCACATCTCATCCCCTCCCTGGTCCCGAGAGAGGCTGGGCACCCAGCTGTTCCCCTGCCAAGCCCAGCTGCAAGCTTTTCTTCCCCAGAACTTCATAAAGCATTCTTTCTGGAACGCCTCCTCCCAGCCCTGACTGTCCCCTTGAAATCTGTACAGCGCCTGATTCCCTGCGCTGGTTAACAGTCTCCTGCTTGCATGGTACCTGGAATTTATTTGGGCTGGCTTCAGTTCAGGCCAGGAGAGCTACTGTCGAAATACAGGAAAAGTGCCAGTCAGACGCAATAGCAGCTGCCACAGCCACCCACGCCTTTAATCCCAGCACTCAGGCAGCAGAAGCAGGCAGATCTCTGGGGGAGTTTGAGGCTGGCCTGGTCTAAATGGCAAATTCTAGGCCAGCCTAGGCTATCTAGTGAGACTCTGTCTCACAAATTAAAAAAGAAAAAAAGAAATGAAACGAAACGAACAAACAAACCTCAGTAGCAGTTACTACAGCTGGACATAGAGACGGGCTGAAATGCATCCGGCACTTGGGCACAAAACACTCGCCGCATCCGTTCTCTCTCCCTCTCTCCCCCTGTCCTCTCTCTCTCCTTCCTTCCCCCTCCCCGTCACCCTCTTTCCTCACTTCTGAAGTCTATCTTTATCTAAGCATCACAACAGATGGCATAGTTGCATGTGTGCCAACACTCCAGCCACCACAGAGACGACTGGCCCACTGGCCCTGAGTCACAGCTCCACATTCCTAGGAGAGAAAATAGACCGACCCACATTAGGCCTCCCATCCACCTTGGATGCAGTCAGCTGTGAGACTGGCGCCTGAGTCACCATTAGTGTGGCCCCAAGTCGAGGGCAGCAGCCACCACTTAGTGAACGCTGGCGCTAATCCAGGACTTGACTAGTGCATTGAGGAAGTAGCCTCAAGGGGCTGGGGATGTAGCTCAATGGTAGCCTAGCATGTGCAAGGATCTGGGTTCAAAACCCGGGTCCTGAAGTTCAGTTTGGAGAAGAGATGAAAATCGTCTCGAGTTAGTGGTAAAAACTTTTGACTTGAGCTTTTCTCCCCTAGTGGATCCTTCCCCACTCTCCCAGGAAGGAAGGAGAAAGGGATCAGACGGGCGTGGATAGAACGAAGGAGCAGTCTGAGGATGTGGCTCAGTGAAGGAGCCACCGAGCATGTGCAAGGTTCTGGGTTCAGTCTCCAGTGCCTCGGGAGAAGGAAGGGAGGAAGAGGGCAGGCAGGAAGGCAATGAACTGAAAACCCCAAGTGTTAGCTCTGGAAATGGTCGACCTGCCTGCTGTGGGAAGGACGAGAGGGGAGGGGTGTCCTCCGAGTCCTCCCAGCATGTCTAAATGCCGCTTTTAAAAAATAGATAATTTGGCCTACTTCCGTTATGTGCGAAAATAGGGTATTTCCCCAGAAGTTGAGGGCAGTGCAGACATTCCCGGTCTAGCTCTCCACACTGTCCGCACAGCGGTCCCTGCAGGTCTTGGCACTGGTTGCAGAACAAGAGTCACCTGGAGAAAGCTTTATAAAGGAAATGGGAGGTAGAGGGGTGGTCCCAGGCAACTGTCAGAATTTGAGGGTGTGTTTTCTTACATGATTGTAATGAGTAGCCAGCATGGGAACCCATAGTTTGACCACACCAAAGCCTCGCACAATCAAAGACCCACACCCCTCTGTGAGACAGGAACAACCAGGGGAATTAATCCCATTTCGTAGATAGTGCATTCTGGCTGCTAGGAAGTTTCCTTTTGTGAGCTGGCCTCACCACAGAATGCAGAGTTCTAGGGATTGCCCCTCTGATCTCATTAAGTCGTGCTGCAAACACTCCTGGACTTAATTAAGAGCCATCCCTCACCATGTTTGTGTCCCTCCCTGTCCCCTCCGCTCATCTCACTCCGTTCATCTTCTGCTCCTGGGTGCAGGAACTAAATAAGAAGCGGACCCAGAAGGAAATGGAGCATGCCATGCTGATCCGGCACGACGAGTCCACCCGAGAGCTGGAGTACAGACAGTTGCACACACTGCAGAAGCTCCGCATGGATCTGATCCGGCTACAGCACCAGACGGAGCTGGAGAACCAGCTGGAGTACAATAAGAGGCGGGAGCGGGAGCTGCACCGGAAGCATGTCATGGAGCTTCGGCAACAGCCGAAAAACTTAAAGGTGAGAGGACACCCCGAACCCACTGTGCATCCTCACACAGGTGGGCAGGGCCACAGCGGCCCGTCTGTGTCACACCACAGAATCAGAATCTCTAGGTGTGGTGTCCAGGGCTCCTTCTGCAAGCTGGGAAGCTGCTTTGGAACCCTCTAAGCTGCAGTTCAGGATGTTGCTTACCTGAGCCATTGGTCACCCACCATCTTTGAAAGGCAGTGAGAAGGGGCTAGAGAGATGGCTCAGTGGTTAAGAGCACTGGCTGCTCTCCCAGCACCCACACAGCAGCTCACAACCACCTGTAACTCCAGTTCCAGGGAAGCAAGACCTCTTCTGACCTCCGAGGCCACCAGATACCCATGTGGTTCACAGACACATTCAGATAAGACACTCATACATATAAAATAAAACTAAAAGCTGTAAAGTGAACAAGGACAGCTCAGAAAATGCTCCTGTCAGTGAAGGGTTTGCTTTGGAAATACAAAGACCCGAGTGCTGTCCCCTAGAACAGTGGTTCTCAACCTGTGGATCATGACCCCCATGAAGGTCAAATGTCCCTTTCCCAGGGCTCACCTAAGACCATCAGAAAGCATGGATATTTACATTACAATTCATAACATACAGTTATGAAGTAGTAACGAAAATAATTTTATAGTTGGGGTCACCACACCATAAGGAACTGTACTAAAGAGTAAAAGTTTGGGGCTGGGCATAGTAGTGCACACAGAGAGGTAGACAGGGGCGCTTAAGGCCAGCCTGAGCTACATAGTGAGTTCCGGGCTGGTCAGAGCTATACAGTAAGACCCTGTGTCACCAAAAAAGGAAGAGGAGAAAAAAATCAACAAAAGATGTCTGTGACCCCAGCCTTTCTGGGCAGCTTCCTGGTGCTGGTTGGCCACTCACCTAGCGTGCTTAGCAGTCCCAGGCTTTTGCCAGACACTGTCTCAAAAATAAATAAATAAATAAGAATATGGATGGCACCTGAGGCAGCTACCCATGGTTGTCCTCTGACCTCCACATAAGCAAGTGCTCCTAGCGAAAGTGGATAGAGAACTGTCCGTGGTCCTAGCCCCAGTCACTGAGGAAGCCGTAATGGTAACAAGGTTGCTGCACAAATAAAGGCTACAAAGCCAGGATACAAGCTGCCCTTGGTCTCATTGGCACATGTCCCTTCAAGGCAAACCCTAGCCACACCCACGACCCCTGCCACCAGAAGTCCTGATTGTTCAAGTGGCATGTGACTGCGGAGTGGCCTGCCGCATGCTCCTCTTCCCGCTTCCCAGAGTGCGCATTTGGCATCCACTCCTGAAAGCACACTCTCAATGGAGTCAGAGCTCCAGAACCACTTTTCTCCTTCAGTTTCTGCTGAAGTCATGGAGGATTGGATTAGGGTATGAGGCGCTGTTCCGGTATGTGGAAGACATTCTGAGCCAGGGTAGTGGGAGCTGATTGTAGAGCCTCGTCCCCTTCTCACCTGGCAATGAAGGGAGATTGTGCACACATGGAGGTGTATGCGCTCACCTCGAGGAAAGAAAACACAGCGAGCGATAGGAGCCACTGCAGACCAGGAGGAAACTAGGGAAAGAACTATCAACACGCTAACAAGTCTCACCATACTCCACAGTCTACTGTGAATCGTAGTTTCCCGTTATAATTTATGATTTCCTAAAGCCATTCATCAAATCAAAATCACTTCCATCCATGTCATGTAAAAAGAAAAGAAAAGGAAAAATCATAGGGCTGGTAGTGATCCCTCCGGCATGAGCTGTCCTATTGGTCTCTGGACTGATGGCTGTCATGGGGCATCCATGCGTGGTCTGTGTCATGTGTCGTGTGTCATGTGTCATGTGTCCAAGCATGTGGACTGACTTGTTTCTCTTTCTCTTTGTCACGTTTTCCCGGCCAGGCCATGGAAATGCAGATTAAAAAGCAGTTTCAGGACACTTGCAAAGTACAGACCAAGCAGTACAAAGCACTCAAAAACCACCAGTTGGAAGTCACTCCAAAGAATGAGCACAAAACAATCCTAAAGACACTGAAAGACGAGCAGACGAGAAAACTGGCCATTTTGGCAGAGCAGTATGAACAGAGCATAAATGAGATGATGGCCTCTCAGGCGGTAAGTGGGTAGGGTTGTTGCCATGGCGTCGAGAGCTTTCGGGATTTCAAGAAAATTCAAGATCCAGCTTTCATTCCCAAGCACCTTCTGGGATACATTGGTTTAGGATATATTGGTGGCTTCTTTTCCTGCCCGAGGAACGGAGGAAAGTGACGACGCTGAGTAAAGTCAAGGCCATGCGGATACTCACTGGAATGCGTCTTCTCAGATGGAGCGGAAGGAGCAGTGGCAGTCCAGCCGGGGGGCACATAGGGAGGGCGAGATGGGGTGGACGCCGCGCGCGTGTGTATATGCTTCTTCACCAGGAATTTACCGACCACCACCCCAACTAATGTCAGGCATGGCCCTGCTGCCTCCGTGCCCACGGTCAAGTGAGGGGAGACACACACACACAGACATATTTGCTAAACAAACTCTGGCCAGGCCTCTGCAGGCAGTGCTGCCCTGAGCCCAGAGACAGGGGAGCCAGCTAGACAGGGTCTCATGCTGTGTCAGGAAGCCTGGGAAGTCAGATCACCGAGTGGTAATAGCCAAGCACACTGAGTTGTTGGGGTACCCAGGGCCTTGGAAGGACAAGGAGGAACAGGGAAGCTGGCCTAGAGATGCCCAGAGAAGAAAAAGGAAGCTGTCAAGATACATGGTTCTGTATAGGCAAAGTCCAGACGAGGGGAGTGTGCACCTGGGGCTCAGAGCTGGAGGGCGAGCCTGGGGTTCAAGAAGGAGGACTGGGTTGGGAGCCGTGGTGCACACCTGTGATCCCAGCATTCGGAAAACTAAGGCAGCAGGATTGGGACAGCCTGGACTACTAGCAAGACTCAGTCTTGCCAAACAAAGGCAGGGGATGTAGTTCATCAGGAGACCACTGGCACCAGGGCCCCCAGCCATGAAAAGAAGGGAAAGAGGAAGGTAGGGAAAGAAGAAGGAAGGGGTAGAAGGAAAGAGGAAGAGAGGAGGGAAGAAAGAAATAGGGAGGGGAGGGGAGGAGCCCCCATGTACCCCTCCTGTCTTATTCCCAGGCTAGGCTCTCCTGGTTCTCCACTGGATCCCAGGATCCCAAGGATGTTGGTAGATTAGGAAATGGGTCTGTCAGGGAATTGAGTGACATCATCCCATAGTGACCAGCCCTGATGGCCACTGGTTTACTAAACAGAAACATTAGTTCTACCTGAGGTTGCAGTCTGCAAAGATTCAGAAGCTCCGCAGGCCTGAGAACGAATGGCCAACCTGACCACCTGCTACAGCCGGAGAGTCACACATGGGGATAGAGGTGAGGGTCAGAACTTCAGGACAGGAGGTGAGCTGTCACTCTACGAGAGGCCTCGGGGACCAGGGTGCAGTTGCTGTGAGTCCTGGGGTCCACATAGCACAAGAGGGGCATGGGAGGCAGGCACATGGACGTGGTGAGGGCTGGGCAGGGTTTGGGGAACACTTGGGGGGCCAGCAGAGAGAATTGCGTTCCAAAGGGGAGTTACCAGGAGACCGGGAGAGTTGAGGAAAGAGGGTGAACTCGGATGCTGGGCACAGTGATTGAGTAAGGTGGCCCTGAGCCCTGTGTCCGTGTGGAGAGATGCAGATCCTAAAATCTGCAGGTCAGAAGGCATGCCAGGATTAAAGACAAAGAGTCCCATGCCTTTGCCTTGTGGGGGCAGCTGTAAGAGTTAGGAGTTAGTAAATCTACCAGGGACGTGTGCGGGGTAGTTTGAGAAGCAGGCTGGGGACAGGACCTGGTAGCCATCCGTGTTTGAAGGCTGTGTGAAGGGTAGACATAGATCAAAGAGGATGAGTACCCAAAGATCAGGAGGGGCCAGGAGAGAGCAAGTCACAGATGGCAGAGCAAAGCTTCCCACCATTGGGTTTAAATGTGCAGGAGCCATGAGAGCAGCAAACCTCAGTGACCTCCCCGCTTTGGACAACGGCTCTAGCCAGTGCGGCACAACAGTGAGACGTGGAGGTGTCCTTCCACTTCAAAGGGATGTGGCTGCAGCTCGGTGGGACAAGTGCTTGCCTAGCACGTGCAAGGCCCTGGGTCTGATCCTCCACATGGTGTCACCCACCTGGGATCCTGGCACCTGGGAGATGGAGCAAGAGAATCAGAAGCTCAAAGTCATCCTCAGCCACATAACAAGCTCGAGGCCAGCCTGGGCTACATGAGACCCTGTCTCAAAGATAAAGAGTGCCCATAAAAAGAAGAAGCTGCACATGGGAGTCCTCTCCCGTCCTCATCAGTAGAGGCAGATAGACGTGTAGCAAGCAGAGGGGACAATCAAAGCTCCCAGCAGTAGGAAGAGGCTCGGGCATGTTCTTAGCTGGTGCTGCCGCGCTCCTTCACACCTTCATTCACTCATCCGTCTGTCCAACGAGCGTTTGTGCCCGTCTGCAACATGTTCCAGGCATCCCTGGAGGGGGTGATCCTCATTCCCCGACCAGTCCTCCAGGGGCAGCGGAGGAAGCAGAATCAAAAGGGGGCTGCCACGCATGGAGTGGGGCAGAGAAGCAAGAAGGCAGCAGTGGAACCAGAAGGGCTAGCCTGGTCTGGAGGCGGCAGGAGTGGGAGAACCGTAGCCCATCTGAAGAATTCAGAGACATCAGTTCTACTGGAATGTGGAGAGCTGGGGATCTTGCCTGGGAATAAGACAGGAGGGTTGCACAGGGGTCAGGTCATAGTTGGGCCTACAGACCTCAGCACAGTGCACTATCACTAAAGTGTAGAGGATCTGGTGGCCTCTTATTGGTGTGTGGGAGCCATTCCTCAGAGACACGTGGAGAATGGCCTGAGAGAAGGCATGAGCGATGGGAGACCACTGTGGTGCTTTTGCTCTTGCTTGGCCACCGGGGATGATGGCTACACTGGAGATGCAGTATTGGGGAGAGGGGGCCATGTTTGAGAGACAGGTTAGAGGTTCAGGGAGTGTACCTGGTGGCAGGGCCAAGATACTGAGCAAGGATTAAAGAAGGATCTAAGTCTCCGGGTTGAGTTTAGTGGTCGGTGACAGTGGCAGTTGGTTAAGAAAGACAGTGGGGCAGGTTGAGGAAGGGGAGCAGGAAGGGAGAGTTTGTAGTGGTCACATAACCTCAGGCTCTGGGAAACAGCCCGGGCCAATCTGTCCAGCAGATAAACAGAGAGAGAAAACTGGAGAACTTACCTCCCCAGGGAAGTCTGGTGTGCCAGCGTGTGCCCAAGAGACTCTTGGAGTAGACAGAAGCCCTTGGGAGGAGCAGTTAGAGGGGGCATGGGCCAAGTCTCCTGAACACCCACATTTCCTGAGGTCCTGCTTGGCAGGGTCGAGCTGGGAAGGCAGAGCAGGGAGAAAAACATAGAAGTTGAGGACAATGGCCAGGCTAGAGCAGGGAATTGCAAGAAAGGCGGTACTCAACAGTGGCCCTGCATATAGGGATCTCACCAAGATGGATCAGAAACCGAGCATGAGGGATGTTAAGTGGGGGGGCGGTACGCAAAAGGAAAGAGTCAAGGAGAAAGAAAGGCGGTGGGGAAAGTACCAGACAGGAGGCCTGTCTTGGTTTTTGTTTTGTTTTGTTTTGAGGCAGGGTCTCTTGCAGCCCAGCCTAGCCTGAACCTCACTATGTGGCCAGGGTTGACTTTGAATTCCTGATCCTCCTGTCTCCCCACCTCCCACGCACTGGGGTTACAGATATTCATCGCCACAGCCTGTTCATTCGGGACTGGAGGTGGAACCAGAGCTTCATGACGCCCCATAATCACTCTAGCTACCCAACCACAGCCCAGCCCTGCTTTGTCCCGTTAGCTCTTGTCACACACAGCACCTGCGGCGTGGCCTGGCTCTGCAGCAAGGGCTAGTGAACGTGTTGTGTGAGTGGGTAGGCACAGGGAAAGGAAAGTGAACTAAGGCAGAGCAGTGTCCTCTCTCTTTGAACAGGGAGGAGGAGACTCTGAGTATGGCTGCCACAGCTGTCAACCCTGCCTGACCTTGAGCCACAAGTAAGGCAAATCCCTTCTTTACCTGGGCAACCAGAGGCTCGCTGAAGGGAGCCATTCACATTAGCTACTGCTTAGGACAAGAGCTGGCACTTGTTAATTTTTCTGTAAAGGGACAAGTCATAAATGTGAGAAGCTATGTGGACCATGAGTGTCTGACCCACTAGGCAGCTCACCTCTGCAGACCCAGGCAGAAATGACGTGTGTACATGTGTGCGTGTGTGTGTGTGTGTGTGTGTGTGTGTGTGTGTGTGTGAGAGAGAGAGAGAGAGAGAGAGAGAGAGAGAGAGAGAGAGAGAGAGCTTGCACGCCCTAGTAAAGGTTTATTTATATGGAGACACAGCCTAGGGGCTGTGGCATTCCAGTCTCCCGCGGTGCAGGGAGGGGGGCCACAGCTTGGGTGCAGGCTGTGAGCTGTACACTAGGCCACCACTAAGTTACACTGCACTCCCTTGCCTCCTCTCCTTCTCTGTGAGCCACTGTAGGGAGCAAGCATGATAGTCGCCCTCATTATTATAAACCTCAGAGTGCATTTGCATGTGTGACTGCAGGTGATAAATTCCAAAATCTGAAACTCCTGTGGTTTCTAGCACTTGGACTTGGATGGTCAGAGCTGGCACAGAACATGGTTTGAGGATAGCTAAATGCCAGAGACAAAAGAAACTGTAGGCTGGGGCTGTAGCTCAGGAGGCAGAGGGCTGGTCTAGCATCCAGAAAGTCCTGGCCTTTGTCACCAGCACTGCTAAAATTCCAACATGGTGGTATGCGCCCATAATCCTAGCATGGCTGTGCACACCTTAATCCCTGCATGGCGGTGCACACCTGTGATCCCTGCATGGCGGTGCAC